CTTTAGGCAGCATAATTGGACGTCTTGATTGTTTATTGTATATGAAATGCAGTTGATATTAAAAAAAAAAAAAAAAGCTCACTTGATAGATATCTGAGACAAATTGATGAAATTGTCTGAGGCTTTTTTTTTTTTTTTCTCTTTTGAGTTTTTGTTTCAGGTTATGGTGAGTCTCAGCTATCTGTGTTTTTTTTCAGGATTGTTGGTACATCCCCCATAGCAGCCAATATTTAAATCTGCAGTGAAAAATGGAATGATAATGTGGACGCTGTGAGGTGATAGACCGTTATTGTGAACAATCATTTGATATTTGAAGACCTACTATAGCTGGGAAATTGCAGACTAGCTTTCTACTTTCCATTAGAATTGGTTCTAATAGATGGGCTTGTTGGCTGTAAAAGGGGTGTGAGATGCCTTGCTAAGAACATACAATATTATGGGATTATTAGTGTTTAATCAAATCTGATAAAAGGATTTACGGTATATATCTAAAAAAAAAATGTTGACAAAGAATATTTTTTATAAAATATTGTGATGTAGGGATTTATTTGCTTGCATGCTTCATAATCATCCGGAATGCTACAGCATGCAAATTTTCTTTTGCTGAGAAAGTCAAAGGCTGCCTTACTTTCTCCTGCAACTCCCAACTGGACTATGAGACTACTCGTCACAGTGAAGACCCAGTAGGTAGTTGTCAGGGCCAGCCACCACTTTCTCATATTAGAGGAGCCTGAGGTATGGGGCACCCTAGGCAGTACTGGAGATTATGAAATGTTTGAGTCTGCATTTCTTTACAACTGCCACTTTATTGAGTTTGAGTCACGCATCGAATGATGATATATCGGGGCTGAAGCACACGCATTGCATGATGATATATGGGAGCGAAAGCACATGCATTGCATGATATATGTGGGCGGAAGCACATGCATTGCATGATGATATATGGGGGTGGAAGCATGCGCATTGCAGGATGATATATAGGGGCTGAAGCACATGCATTGCAGGCTCATATATGGGGGCTGAAGCACATGCATTGCAGGATGATATGTAGGGGCTGAAGCACATGCATTGCGGGATGATATATGGGGACTGAAGCACATGCATTGCGGGATGATATATGGGGACTGAAGCACATGCATTGCATGATGATCTATAGGGGTTGAAGCACATGCATTGCATGATATACAGGGACATGGCTACTTGCATGAACACAGGAGATATGTATTCACAAACTGATTGTGAGTAGAGCAGAATGTAGTGTCAGCCATTACCAGGTTCTGCCTGCCTATCTGTGGTATACCATTAGGTTCACTATTGTGTTTAGAGGTTGCTGTTTATGTATGACCCCTTATGCACCTAGTTAAACAATGACCATCAGTTTAGCACAGGTGTATGCAACCTGGATACTCCAGCTGTTGTGGAACTACAAGTCCCATGAGACATTACAAAACTGACCTCCACAGGCATGATTCCCAGAGGCGTCATGGTATTTGTAGCTTCACCACAGCTGAGGTGCGGAGCTTACCTACCCCTGGGTTAGCAGTTCTCTGAGACATTTCATTTGCCTCTATTGATCCTCCCACAGAAAGTGACATGAAAATGAAATTCAGGAGACACGCTTGTATATTTCAAAGTTATTTATTTACAGACAGTCTCTGAGTACATTAAACCTTTAAAATTCCAGTTAGTGGCAGTTTTTTTATTTATTTAATAAAGTTAACACTGCATCAATCTTGAGATATTTGTACACGAGTCAGCCCCAATGAGATCCTTTTTGTAGACATTTTTTTTTTAATTATTTTTAACCTTAAAATTTGTACTACAAAGTTAACACTTTTGAGTCACAAAACAGTGCGTACAAAAATATAGATTCTAGAAAATTCCCAATATTAACTGGCAGTAATATACAGCTCTGCTGATGTGGCATGGGACCGTATTTGTCTTGGATAAGGCAACCTATATATACATGCAGACATTGAGGACACTTGTCTACATTACACGAGAAAGGCACCATGAACACTGTTGTACCACAAGGCATGCTTTACTGACATACAGGATCTATTTACATCCCTTAAATAAATTAACCTCTCTGCCTTTTTACATAACATACATCACAAAGTTGTACCTTTTTCCTTTTTGAGCTCCACGAAAGCAGTGCAGTTCAGCCATATACAATCTAGATGTATAAGTAAACACGCAGAACTAAAGGCGGCATAAACCACACAAGTACCAGAACATTTTGGCATCCCTTTCATTGCACTTGTATTAAAGCGGCCATACACAATTGAATAGTTCATGTTTGACAGCCGGGCACCGTATACAAAAACACTGATCATACAAAGCGTAGATTGGATATTTCAGCAGCAAGCTCTTTGAAGGCAAGTTGTGTTATGATGCACTAATGACACAAGTCATATATTCACAGCTGTGACCATGGGGCAAGAAAATGCCATGATGTCTGGTCACTGCTCTGCAAGAAGTCATATGGGTGGAATTTAAAATTTTGGACAGTTTCTATTCCCTGCTTATTAAACAGAAATAGGTGGCAACTTAGAAAATATGCTCTTCCATAATGTTAGGGTAAGAATTCTTATGTATGGGAGGTACACCGGTCGTAGGAGAAATGGAGGGGTACCTTTTAATGAAAATGCTAGTGATTGGCTGTAATTCTGATACTTTAAAGGGAATTATTAAAAAGTGTCTGAGACAGGTTCTATCTTCACCAGTGCAGTTGCCTATAGCATCCAATCCGCTTCTGTCATTTTGTTCACACAGTTTTAAATGAACATGTCAAAGCTGATTAGTTGTGCTCCAGTTGAGATAACGTTTGTCTCCGATGCTTTTTATTAATTCTCCCCATTGGCTTCCCTGCTTCATGACTCACACGTGTGCAGATCAAGGAAGTCCTAATACTTATCTGCATGCTCGGGGATTCCGACTATTGAAGGAAGAGGGTCAGCAGGACAGCCAAGCATCTAACATTTTCAGAAACACAGCTTCAGCATTGCCGCGTCTCTCCCATGATGGGTTTACTTTAACTGAAAAGCTTGTACTAGAGGTTGGCTCATCCTGCAATGTGCCAGAATATTTAGTATGTGCCAAATGATGTCCACACTGTATAAAGATACAACACCTTGTCTGGGGTAGGTTTATGCCAAGTACAGATTATTAAACACTAATTCGGGGGAGAAGAACCCACTGCTGAAATATCCAAGCCAGGAGTTCCCAGATCAAGCTGGAGTACAAGACTGCAAGTTTTGAGCAGATCCATTACTGCTCTTTGAAATCGCAGCGATCCGTCCTAGTACCACTTTTTTACAGCCCGAGTACTCTTCCAGGCTTATACAATGAGGCAGAGATAAATGAATAGCAATTCACTGTAACCAATCAGATTTCTTCTTTCCCTGCCCTGACCCCAGTAAAGGGAAATCTGATTTCTCCTCGCTGCTTCTTGCCAGTTAGAGTATGCTGCTAACTGTGTATTTTTGGGAATAAGGATTGTGTCACTAGATCATTAAGTAAACCAACACTGAGCATGTATGGCCAGCTTAAGTCTTATTGTACCGGTTACAAGACAGATATTGTTATCAAGAGAAATTAAATGAGGTTGGGAGATTCTAAAGTACCCCTTCATATCACACCGCCTGCTCCTGGCAGTCATGACAAGGATAAAGTGCATGAGTTACGGCTACTTCTGACATCTCTGCAACACGAAACGCCATTCAAAGTTACCATGTAACTCTAGTCCTGAACATAACCAGGAAGTTAAAACAAAAAAGAAACTCACACAGGAAATTAGAAAGTTAGTAGCAAAGAAAACAAAGTTTACCTAGCGTGCATCCAATCAGCTCTTAGGAGCGTGGATTAAAGCGTGGTGAAAAGAGCAGCGCTGTAACCCATGGCACAGGGGGTAGGCAACCTGGGCACGCCAGCTGTGCTGCAGCTACATCTCCCATTATGCCTGTGGCTGACAGAGACTTGCAATGCCTCATGGGACTTGTAGTTCCACAACAGCTGGAGTGCCAAGGTTGCCTGCCACAGCATTAAACCAGGGCTTGTTAGACTAAAGGCTTATCTGGGTTGCAGCCAACTATTACTCTTTGCGCCATGCTGATAATAAAAGCCCTTAGAGTTACACATAAGAAGTAACACACCATTGCGTAAAGGAAGCCTGTCTTCACTGCATATCGTACATATAAGCTCAATTCACCAAGCTAACACACAAGGATAAGTCTACTTCTCGTCCATAAAAAAAGTCATTTTCAGTGAAGCCCGATGATATTTGAACACAAAGATTCTTATTCTTGTGTAAAGCTTAGTGAACCAAGCCCAGGTTCTGTTCTGTCTAGTATCATAGTAAAATACTATGCAGTCAAATTCACTTTAAAGTGTACTCTCTTAGACTGGGGTTGATTTACAATGCATGTTCACTTTGCATTGGTGTTGTCACTTGGCTTAGTGAATGCGGCGAAACATTACAAAGGATACCTAATCACGTGCAAAATCAATTGAAAGATTTTTGCTGGAACGTGATTTGGATGATTGAATTTTGCCTCATTCACTAATCTAAAGGAAACTTCCCTTGTGAAGTAAGTGAACAGTCTAGTTGCCTTTAGTAAACCAAGCCCTGGGTGTGCACAGATCAAGCCTCCAGCTTGGTCTGTGTGGACAGTCAGAGTTCCTTAGCTGTAGTGCTAGTCTTTCAGGCTTAGGTAGCCCAGCAGGTGTCCAGGCTTCTGAGTCAGTGCTGTCACATACAGAGTCAATACTGTCGATGAACATAGAACACAATGTAAACCTTGACTCCCTCCCAAAAGTGAGCAACATTCAAGCCTCCACTTGTCTGCCTCCTCTAGTGTAGCAAAGTCTTGAAGGCAGTACCTGAGCCAGCAGTACATCTTCCAGTTTTAAGTCCCGAATACTGTGAAAAGTCTAGCGGCCCTGGCCCCGGAGTGGCAGCCATATTCCCTTTTTTTTGCTGTCTTTGACAGTCTGTTGGAGTCTGTTTTAGGATGTCCTGCTGGGGCACAGTGCCATCTGAGCGCTGCCGGAGCCTGCGGAGCACGGGCTGAGGCTGAGTGAGCGTTCTTGCCCCGCGCTGCCGCTAGGTGTCGCCCCGGCTCCGCTCTTCCGCTCCTTCTGCCGTAGGTGGATCTTGGTGTGCCGCTTGCGCTCGTCGCTCCGCGCAAACTTTCTGCCGCAGTAGTCGCAGGCGAAGGGCTTCTCCCCGGTGTGCGTACGGATATGGGTGGTCAGGTGGTCGCTGCGGCTAAAGTTCCTCATGCAGATGCGGCACTGGAAGGGCTTATGCCCGGTGTGGATGCGGATG